GGCAGCCGTGACATTAACCGCTGCAGTAGGAATGTCGGTGGGGTCGGCCAATGGCGCTTCCCAGTCCATGCGCTGCATGTCCGAATCGGCATGGGCCAAATGCATTCATTGACGGGCCCCTGCCCCTCCCATCGCCCAGGGGGCACTCACGGCGGAAATGTTGTGTGCTGTGGCAGATGTCACATTCCATGGTTTTACCGTTAGAATATTTCGGGTTGCCCCGACGCCCCCTTTCTTTTCCTGAGGCGCGCCTGCGGCCCCTGCCTGCGCCCAGGAATTATTATTCATGCTGTGGTCCAGTAAGAGATGCCAGGAACGCTAGCTTACCTCTGCCATGCAATCGCCGTCGTTTGCTCTTACACTTGCCTCGACCCTTGCCCTTTCCCCTAAGTGCCCGTCGGATAGTGCGTCGTGCCTCGCGGATTGGCTTCTTCATGAGCCGCCTCCATCTGCGTTTATGTTTCTGATATCCCAGAAACAACCATTGAGCCTGTTGGTATTCCGTGAAATACGTGGGCATGTCGGAATAGTCTCGGGCAGTCGCTTCGTCGTCTGATGACGCGTCGGTGTCGGTTCCGGAATCGAAGGCAGACTCAGCGGGTTGCCCCGCTGAGCCTACAGGGGTAATGGCTTATGCAGGAGCCGCCGTTGACGACGGTCCCTGATATCTGGCCCAGGAGTCTTGCGACCCCGTAGCTGGACCACCATTTTGGGCCAATAGTGCGGTGGCATCCGCTGGTTGCGGATCGCCATTCCAGAATTTTGTAGCAGGTTGCCCTACGTTGGCTTCATCATCAAAGGTTTCGGCACGGTGGCCGCGGCTAAGGATGCCACCGATGTGAGCGTATGACCGCACGCGTTCAAGTAGAGAGTCAATATGTGTTGACTCCTGGGCATTTGGTGGTTGAGTGGCTGCAGGAGTTGGTGCCCCCACTCCTCAGGCTCCGCACAGAATAACTGTTAGGATTTGCAAGTTGGAGATGTTAAAGCCTGCCGTTTTAGCCTCGTAGCGGGCTATCTCGAAGCGCGCCTATGTCTGGTCGATGGGTTCTCCCGCATGGACTCGAAAGTCGATGGGGGGCGTTCCCGAATTGAGTTGGTATTCCTCCTCTAACTTCTCAAATTTCGTGCCATGGAGGAACGTCATATCGGTGACACCATTAACGCCAAACATTATGACTGCGGGGGGGGGGGGTTCTCATGGCTATGATCCGTGCAAGACCTCCCGAACCACGCTGCAGTGCTGCAGCTTGTTGGGAGGGCGTCATTTGCCTGTGGTCACGTTGATCCAGGCATGTACCTCTCGAGCGAATTCGCGGAAAGGCACTTGACCGGGTCCCAGTGGGGGCTGGTTGCTTTTGTGCCGTCTCCGCAACGCATGTGTCCCACGACACACCCGATAGCAACCCACATAGAACCAAGTATAGTGATACCAATCCAATGGCCCCGTAGGTCGCGGTCGGATGTTGGTGGCTGGAGGTTGTGGTGTTTTGTTGTACGCCTGCGTGTGGGTGGAGGCGGCGCAATATCGTATCGCATGTTGCCATGCATGGTATCTTCGAAAAAACAATTCGGTGGGTGGACTCCAGGAGTGTAGTGTCGCATGGATGTAGGACTCGAGTAAGAGGCCTCCGCGAGAGCAGAAATAGCACTGCAAGTGTTCTTGCGGTTGTGCGTAGTTGTGTACATTCCTCCGCGCAAACCCAATGCGCCCTGATGTGTAGTCCACCAGATAATGCCGTGGATGGTGAGGGCTAGAGCGAGAGCTCACCACCATAAGCCAGCTCCGCTACCAAGTTTGAAGGAAACTGGGAGGCCCGACCAGAAGCTTCGCCTTGGGCGAAGCGCAGCTCCAGCTCTGTTGTACCGTAGTAACGGAAGTCCCAGTCGGAGGAGGTCGTCGCGGGAGCGACGGGCCATCTCAAGCGAAGGATGTTTTCGGTCTCGATGGCAAGTAGTATGCCTCGCGATGGGGCAAAGTCATATATTGGCTGCCGGCCGCTTGAGCCCAAGCGGCCACGGACAAACGCTCGCTATCTCTCGCCGTTGTCCCAGCTCACTTTAGAGTGTGCCCCCCTAGGCTTTGAATGATTTTAGCGTACTCGCATTTTCGGGCTTCTGACACGCAAGGACGGCCTAAGAGGCCCCCAAGATCGCCCCGAGGCGGCCCAATATGCCCCCAAGAGGTCACCAATAGGGCCCCCAGGCTGCCCAAGAGAGTTCCAAGACTGCCCAGCAGGGCCCCAACATGCTCCAGGAGGCCTTCGAAAACGCCAAGAGTGGCCTGGGAAGCCCTTTCCCCGAATGTTTTCCCCATGATCCCCAACATGCCTCCAAGAGGCCAAAAGGCCCACGAGGGGCCCAAAGAGCTCCCTCAAGAGGCCTCCAAGAAGCATCCAAATATCCTAAGATGGGGTTCTTGTTATTTTTGTTGACGCCGCCGACTCCAGAGAACATGGACACACCCAGAACACGGACTTACTCATGCACCGACTTACTCATACTCGAACTTATTCATACCCAGACGTACTCATACACATACATACTCATACCCAGACTTACTCATACACAGACTTACTCATACACAGACTTACTCATACACAGACCTACTCATACTCAGACTCATTCATACCCAGACGTGTACATACACAGACTTACTCATACACAAACTTACTCATACTCAGACTTACTGATACCCAGACGTACTCACCCACGTACTTACTCATACTTAGACATACATATACTCAGACCTTCTCATAATCGGAATTACTCAACACACGGCAGATGTTGAGGATGTCTCAGGCCGGGCGCTGGCTTCAGCACCCCTGAGGGGAGCCACCAGGGGGTATATCACGGGCCCGTTCGCGGCTAGTTTGTGGGGATGTCTCAAGCGGTTTGCCGTGTCGGTGCTCAACATCGTCTGCGACTACAGCAGATTTAAAGGATGTCTCAGGCGGGGCGCTGGTTTCAGCACTCCTAAGGGGAGCCGCCAGGGGGTATATCACGGGCCCGTTCGCGGCCAGTTTGTGGGGATGTCTCAGGCGGTTTGCTTGTTTCGGTGCCCAACATCGTCTGCGATTACAGCAGATTTGGAGGATGTGTCAGTAGGGGCGCTGGTTTCATACTCATACCCAGACGTGCACATACACCTATTAACTCGTACGCAGGACATATTCATACTCAGACTGACTCATACCCAGACGTACTCATACACATACTTACTCATACTCGGACCTATACTCAGACCTTCTCATAGTCTGAGTTACTCAACGCACGGCAGATTTTGAGGATGTCTCAGGCGGGGCGCTGGCTTCAGCACCCCTAAGGGGAGCCGCCAGGGGGTATATCACGGGCCCGTTCGCGGCCAGTTCGTCGGGATGTCTCAAGCGGTTTGCCTGTTTCGGTGCCCAACATCGTCTGCGATTACAGCAGACTTAAATAATGTCTCAGGCGGGGCGCTGGTTTCAGCACTCCTAAGGGGAGCCGCCAGGGGGTATATCACGGGCCCGTTCGCGGCCAGTTTGTGGGAATGTCTCAGGCGGTTTGCCTGTTTCGGTGCCCAAGACCGTCTGCGATTACAACACATTTGGAGGATGCCACAGTCGGGGCGCTGATTGCAGCACTCCTAAGGGGAGCCGCCAGGGGGTATATCACGGGCCCGTTCGCGGCCAGTTTGTGGGGATGTCTCAAGCGGGTTGCCTGTTTCGGTGCCCAACACCGTCTGCGATTACAGCAGATTTGAAGGATGTCTTAGGCCGGGCGCTGGCTTCAGCACCCCTAAAGGGAGCCGCCAGGGGGTATATCACGGGCCCGTTCGCGGCCAGTTTGTGGGGGGATGTCTCAGGCGGTTGGCCCCTGTTTCGGTGCCCAGCATCGTCTGCGATTACATCAGATCTGGAGGATGTGTTCGTCGGGGCGCTGGTTTCATACTTACTCATACCCAGACGTACACACACAGACTTACTCATACACAGACTTACTCATACTCAGACTTACTCATACCCAGACGTACTCATACACATACTTACTCATACTCAGACCTACACATACTCAGACCTTTTCATAGTCGAAGTCACTCAACACACTGCAGATTTTGAGGATGTCTCAGGCGGGGCGCTGGCTTCAGCACCCCTAAGGGGAGCCGCCAAGGTGTATATCACGGGCCCGTTCGCGGCAAATTTGTGGGGATGTCTCAAGCGGTTTGCTCGTTTTCATGCCCAACAAACATCCCTAAGGAGAACCGCCAGGGGGTAGCACACGGGCCCGTTCGCGGCCAGTTTGTGGGGATGCCTCAGGCGGTTTGCTCGTCAGTGCGCTCATTAACAGACGCTCACTATGGCATGACATAAAACATGAGATGCACCTATGGAGAGCTCCACGCAGCGAGTAATTACCCAAATGGCATCCAAGAGGCATCTGGCCCAGTGGCGGGATGAGCCGAAGGCCACCAAGTATATAAGGCGGCACCGCCCGCACCGATGGAATTTCCAAAGAAAGGAGCATCTGCGAATTCGTGGAGGGGAGATGGAGGGGAGGGTGGAAGGGAGGAGATCGCAGGGGAAGTGGAGAGAAGGTGCAAGTGAGATACAGCGACAGGGACAGTTGCAGGGGGAGGGGAAAGAAAGGGGGAAAGACAGATGCAGGAAGGGAGGCTGAGAGGGGAGGAGGTGAGAGAGGGAGGGGAGAGGGAGGGAGTAGAGAGAGGGAGCGGGAGAGGGAGGGAGAAAGGGGGATGAGGAAGAGCGGGGAGGGGGGAGTGGGAAGAGGGACAAGGTGAAGGGCATGGGCATGGGCAGGTGCAACGGCAGGTGCAAGGAGAAGGATACATCATGAGGCAGGGGAGAAACTCAACTTTGCCTGTAACGTCATGATGGAAACACAATCGAGATGAACGGTAAGCGTAACGTGCTTACGCGAAGTCTCACTGGGCGTCCGATCAGTCCTCTTCCATCACATGGGATTCAAAGAACACTGACAATGCAAAGGTAATCGCATATCGCCTGAAAAGTGGTCGCGCTGAGTGTTGACACAGTCCTGGCGGTGAAGGGAGCACGGTGAAGCGCGGACGGTATGGCGGGCCCCACGAACCACTGGCAAGAGATCGACAAACCCAACAGAACACAAAGCAACCGGCCTCTGAGGCTTGCTTGGGCGGCCTCCTGCGGCAGGTTCGAGCGACTTGGTAGCCTGTGGGCCCATCCTGGGCTGCGGGCCGCACGGAGGCCGCTTGGGTCCTCTTGGGGCAGTCGGGAGAGCCTCTCGGGGACCTCTTGGCGACATCTCTGAGGACGCCGAAAGCTCCGAGAGGCGCTGCCAGAATACGTTCCAGCGTCCGGTCCCCTATTCCACAAGAAATGGTCTGAGCTCGAGAGCCTGCTTCATGACCATGCTGCTTCGTGTAAGATTGGGGCTTCTTTGGCAACTCCTGGGCCGTCTGGGAAGCGCACCTGGGAAGTCTAGGAGCCCTCGAAGAGCGTCTTGAGTCGCCTGTACCACACCCTTGGAAACAATGAAGGTTATCGACACAAGTGCGGAACATCAGGGCAGTTTGTCTCTGGGAGTCCGCTTGGGGGGGGCCTCCTCAGGAGGGCTTCGAGTGAATTGAGGGTCTCTGGGCACATCTTGGGCTGGACGCTGCTTAGGGGCCGCTTGGGGGCTTGTTTTGAACTCCTATTAGAGCCATGTGGGGGGCCTCGTCTTGGAGGCCTCCTGGACTGTCCTATGCCCCTTTAGATCTATGCTGAGGCGATCTTGGCTGCCTCTTGGGGCGCAGCACCGCGGTGTCTAGGTCGTGTTGGGCGGTCTGGCAACGCCAGAAGCCCCAAAAGGCGAGACGAGTAACATCTGTTAACGAAAACTTGGGGGAATCGATGATTGTGGCCTCGTGGGACCTTACTGCGATTCCTCTTGGAGCCTCTTAGTGGTCGCTTGAGGCTGTTCTCAAACCGTCTTGGGGGCCTGCTCGACCGTCTTGGGCCTTCTTGAGCCGTCGTTGGCCACTCTGGGCCATCTTGGGGCTGTGGCTGGGCGTTCTGGGGGGGCCCGTTGGACTGTCTTGAGGTATTCCTGGGCTGTCTGGAGCACCTCTGGGGGCCCTTTTGGGGGTCTGAGCGCCCTCTTGGGTCGTTTTGGGCCCCTCTTGGGCCGTCCTAGGCCCTTCTCGGAACACTCCTGAATGCGTCTTGGGCCATCTTGAGGCGATCTTGGGAGCCTCTTAGGTCGTCTTGGGCGGTCTGAAGACCGACGAACGCACCGTGCTGAAATTAAACAAACAACAGATCACTGGATTTGTGCCTCCCGGAGGCTTCTTGGGTGTCCTCTGCGGGCGCCTTTTCGGCCGTCTTGGGAGCCCGTTGGGCCGTCTCCCGAGCAGATTGGGCAGTCTTTGTTCCATCTTGGTCGCCTTGGGGGGCTCGTTTTGGCGGTCATTTGGGGTCTTCGGGCGCCCTTCGGGGCTCTCTTCGAGTTCTTCTCCGGACACGGGCGACGTCCCGCAGAACCTCGGCACGGCCAGACGGGTGTGCACACATTTATCCGCCGCCACCTTGTGGGTCTCTAGGCGCGTCCTATAATCCCCACCCTGGGCCTCAAAACCAAGAATGCCCCCCCCGGCCCCCCCTCATGGCCCTGTACGACCTCCAGACTCTAGACGCCCCCGTGGGAATGCGCCATGGGCGGTGTTTTCGGGCGGCCCCCAAAAAGGCTCCAAAGACATCCGCGACTGCCCAAAACAACTCCGAGTCGCCGACGCATCGGCCAACACCGCTCAAGATGGCATCTTGACGGCCCAAGACCCGTCCAACACGTCCCAAAATACTTGCAAGCGCACACCGACGCCCCCAAATCGTCCCATTCCCATTGGGAACTTGGGGAAACGCATATTTTTTGGAGATTCGCACGTTCAGCTTTCACAACGTCCAGAACGGTTTTGGACGCGTTTGAGATCGCCCCAACACGGCCTAAGAGGCTCCCGAGGAGACTCCCAAACGGCCGAATACAACTTCAAAACTGCCCGGCAAGCGTCCAACACGGCCCCCGACGCCCGAAACCCGGCTCCAAGAGGACCCTGAATGGGGATACGCAAAACTGTTTTTCGAGCCGCTTCAACCCGCCAAGCTGCCAACAAAGGCCACCATGAAGCCGAACGATGCCGCCTAGACGCCAACACGAAACCCAACATAAACCTTGAACGGCCCCACGACACACCAACGCTGCCCCCCCAAGTACCCTAAGATGCTCCCGAAGAAACCCGAACAAGCACCAACAAACCTCTGACTTGCACGCGTGGGAAAACATGCGGAAAAAAGGGGCAGATAACGAATTCAACTATACGTGTGTGTATATATACACATGTAGACATTGCACTCCGATGACTTCTGTTCCAGACGCTTCTGGTGCACGACCCAAACGCGGCGGCGTGCCACATGCGGTGTGCTGTTGTCTCTGGTGGTGCTTCCACCGTTTGCGCATCGGCCCCGCTGTTCAACCTCTTTGCATTCTTGAACCTGTCTCCCCACCAACCGCACCAACCTCCATTGTAGCTTGTCCTTTCTTTCTTTCCCTTCATCGGCGCCGTTGTCCTCTCATTCCTCTCCCCTCGTTGCTTGCCCCTGCCTGGTGGTATGCTCGCGGCGTCCGATGCGCGCGGCGCCAGTGCGGACTCCATCTCCCAGCTGGTCGCCCGATCGGGAATCACTTGCGGGACGTGCGCTTCAAAGTGCAGCTCCTCTCGGCGCACGACGCGCCCCCCCCCCCCCGCAGGGCAAGCGCCGACTTCGGAAGCCTCCCGCTGCATGCGCCACTGAACTGATGACCCTGCCAGCCGCGCGCCGCGAACCCAACGGGCCCCTGCGCTCTGCGAGCACCGGTCGCGCGCGAGGGAGGAGGGAGGAGGAGGAGGAGGGAGGAGGAGGAGGAGGAGGAGGAGGAGCAGGAGCAGGAGCAGGAGGAGGAAGAGCAGGAGGAGGAGGAGGAGGAGGAGGAGGAGGAGGCGCTATTCTTCTCCCTCGGGGCTGCTGCGCCGCTGCCTCGGGAACTTCCGCCCGCGCGCCGCGCGCGCCGACCTCCCGCGCCCCGGGCGTCTTGCCGCACCGGCCACCCTCCTCGCGACCATGCCGCGCCTGCTGCGCGGCCCCTGCAAACTCCTCCTCCTCCTCCTCCTCCTCCTCCCTCCTCCTCCTCCTCCTCCTCCTCCTCCTCCTCCTCCTCCTGCAAATCACTCAGACTCCCTTTTTCGCTCGATGGTCCCATCTGATTCTTCTGATTCAAACGGCCCGCGCCCGGAGAGAGAATCACGCTGCGCGCCGCGCGCGTGAGCTCTGCCTCCAGACGTCTCGCCGATTCGGCCACTTCTCTCACGCGCCTCGCAGCCTACCCCGGCCATCTTCTTCGCCCGAGGACTCTCCACGTGTTCGCGGTTCAAACGTCCTGCCTCCCAGAAAGTCACCCCGCGCACTGGCGCGCAGCGCGTCGGCGGCTTCCTTTTCCGGTTCTGCTCTCCATGCGCGACTGTCTGACCCCAGGCCCCTCCGCGCATGTCGGACGCAGCCTCTCTCGGAGTGCGCCGTGCTCCCCCTGCTCTTCTAAAGTCTCTGCCTTCTCCCCGAAAATCGACGGGCGCCTGCCGCTCGAACGTCGCAGCGCGCCAGCGCTCTCGTTCCATTTCGCGCCGCTTCGGAACGAATCCCGTCGTGCTTTGACGCGGGCGCCCCTCGCGCGATGTGGATCGAATAATGTTTGACCCCATCCGCGTTGCCAGCCCCCGCGTCGCCCAGGTCGCCGCCGCGCTGCGTCGGTCCAGCGCTCTCCGCTTGCGCCGCCCATGCTCTGCGTGTTTTGCACCGTTTCCCGTCCGAGCATGTATCTTCGCCACGCATTCTTCGCGAGACGCCGGCCTCTCCTTCCTTCGGAACTCGCGCTCCGCGGGCGCAGCCTCCGCCGGCGCCGCTCGCGCTCGCCTCGCGGCACCAGCCGCGCTGCCTGTTTTTTCTATTCCACGCCTTCCCCTCGGAGAACCTGCGGCGGCTTCTTTCTGCCAGTCGCTTCGTCTCGTTGCGCGGCATCTTCTTCGAAGGCCGAACAATCGATCAGCTCTCTCGCCTTCGCGCGCGCGGCGGCCGCGTGGCTAGACGTCCAACTTGCGCCGCGCCCCCCTTAAATCCGCCATCGCCGCGCCCGCGGCCCGGCCCTGCGCGGCGCGCGCCGTCGCTGCCAACGACGGCGCGCGATCGGCAACTGAGCGCGCTTCGCAATCGGAGTCGGTCTCTTCCGATTCCCGCTCAAGAACCGCGGGCGCCCTCTCGACTTACATAGGGCGCGGCGGGGGGGCCCAACCAGTCAGATGTCACTCATCCGCGCGAAAGTTCATCGCTATGACTCTCGGCGAGTGCAACGGTGCAACATCGTCGTCTGCCGCAAGAGCCCACCCATGAATCGTCGACGCATGCCCCCACAGGACTTGCCCCCGCGACCTATCCAGGCGGTCTCCCAGAGCAGCGGCGCGCCCTTCGCCAGCAGTGGCCGCCCAAGCAAGCCGGCGCACTCCTTGTCGTGGTGGCCCAGCCACCGTATTTTGTCATCCTCCGTGCGCGGCCGACTTCGTTTCCCCCGTGGCACGGGCGATCTCTTGTTTCGTGCCAGCTGCTCTCCTCGCTCCTGCGCCCACTGCGCAGCTTCTGCTTCCCGACGTGGCACCAGATGTCCTGATTGACATAATTCGCGGCGGTCTCCAAAAACATCCCTCCCGAACGCCCCCCCCCCCCCCGGAAATCACGTTTCCCAGCGACGTCGCAACGACCTTCCTCTTCTCTCGCTCACCTTTGCGCACCTCGCGATCCCGTCATTTGTTTTGGAAATCGCCTCTGCGTTGTCTCGACAACGCGCGTCCCCGAGCGCGTTTGCGCCCCCGCCCGCTCCCCCGCCGCCCCCCGCCCCCCCGCCCGCCTCCCCGCGCGTCCCCGCTGCCCCCCCCCCCCGGTCTCCAGAAGATGCGTAGCCCGTTGCCCGCGGTTTTTCGCGGCACCTGGCGCGCACTT